AGAAGAGAATATGATTTTGGTGTGAAGAATAAAGGGGGTTGAGGGGGTTTATATAGGGGGAGGAGGAGGAGGAGTTGGGGAAAAATCGGATGGACATTTAAGATATTTAATGAAAGGCGCGTCCCCAGGGATGCGCCTTTCACACGTGGCAATTGAATTAGCAAAACCCTGTGAAGGCGCTTCCCCAAGGATGTGCCTTTCACACGTGACATCCAATTAAGCGTAAAATCAAGTAAAGCGCGTCCCCGAAGATGCGCATTTCGCTACCTCAACTGAAAGAGTGCTACTTCAAAAAATATAAGTCAAACAATACTAAAAAAAAAGATATTCAATTAAACGATGTCAGTTTGATCAAATAGCCCATCTCGCCAACTCAGTGTAAGGCACTCCCTTTTAAGACGTGCCTTCCAATTGACGTGTGACCTCAACTGAAACCCCTAAAATACTGACAATGTAGGAAACATCTTTGGCCACGTTGACAAGGTGCCTTTCTTGGGAATGTCTCAGGAAAGGCGGGTTAATATACGGCTAATATACAGCATTACCGGATACATTAAAATGTATTTAATAAATTCGGTTTAGCGGTACCTATTATGTTGACAACTAATAATGTTTTAGGTAGAAAATATGAAAAACTATTAAAAAATTTGGTAACCGGTAAACTTTGGTTATCGGTAAGTATCTATCCTTTTTATAAAAGTGTCCATACTTTTAACATATCAAGTAAATTTTACCGGTTTTGTCATAATGAATCTGGTTTTGTCATATTTTTACCTGTTATATTGTAAATTATCTATCCTTTTTATAAAAGTGTCCATATTTATTTCACTGTGAAAATATATTTATTATTATCTTTAGTTAATATTGTTAAATTTAAAATCTAAATAATATTTTATAAAATATCAAAACAATCAAATAATTTTTTGTGTAAATGAAATTATTAAATTAATATTGTAGGTGGAAAACATGAAACACTATTAAAAAAATTGAAACATAAATGACATAACTTTCAAAAAAGTATATATCATTTTTATAAAAGTGTCCATACTTATTTCACTGTTGAAAACATATTTATTATTATATTTGGTTAATATTGTTAAATTTAAATTCTAAATAATATTTTATAAAATATCAAAACAATCAAATAAAATTTTGTGTAAATTAAATTATTAAATTAATATTGTAGGTGGAAAACATGAAACACTATTAAATAAATTGAAACATAAATTACATAACTTTAAAAGCAGTTTTAAATCCTAAAAAGTGTCGATACTTTTAAAAAATATATCGATCCAAAACGATATACCAGGTAAAAATATGATAAAACCGGTAACAAAATGATAAAACCGGTAAATTTAAAAGTGTCGATACGTTATATAAGGATCTACACTTTGTGAATTTAAAAGAGAAGCAGTTATAGCGCCTATAATGTGTCGATACTTTAAAAAAATATATCGATCCACAACGATATAACAGGTAAAAATATGATAAAACCGGTATCAAAATGATAAAACCGGTAAAATGATACCGGATATATTGAAAGTGTCGATACTTTCGTAAGTACGTGTAATAAATTATCGACACTTTCAAAGAAATAGGTAATTATCCTTTCGAAAGTATCGACACCTGACATAAAAGTATCGACACTTTTGTATTTGTATCGATTAAATATAAATAACATATCCGATGAAAATATAAAGGCCATAGCTAAATATCCTCTGAAAAAAGATAGAACGGACGAGTTTTTGAAATCGAAGAGTAATTGTTGCTGCATTTCAGAAGGCGTTTCTAAAGCGAAGTTTGTTAGTTTGTTGCTGCAGTCGAATCGAAAAGTATGTTGTCGAAACCCTAATTTTTTATTATTACAGTAATCGCGATAGGGTTTTTTATGTGTTGTTTGGGGTTTTGGAGTAAGGAAGCATTTGTGACCGATTGCAGGTAGAAATAGATATTCAAGGAAAAATATAAATGTCGATACTTTTATTAAATATTATAGGTAGAAAATGATATTATAGGTTGTATAAATGTGCCGACACATTTTGGTGTGGCCATTCAAATTCTTTTGAAGAAAACCGTTTTACCACAAGAGTAGTTATCTATATTTGTATATTGAAAAGTGTATGTAACAAAATAATTTGATTTGCGTAAACTGATATATGAAGGAAAAATGGAGTCAATGGGTTGGAAAATTGTTGGTGGAGCAGATGACTTTGAAATTGAGGCCGAGACTCGAAAGCAACCAAAGGGTGGATATATGTACTTCTAGTAAGTATCAATGTCTTTTTGTTATTATTGTTGAAATTGTAATTGGATTAAAGTATCGATAAACTTTAAATTGATTACAAATTTTAAATGTTAACAGTATGGCCGAATACAAAAGGATGAAGGGAGATGGCACACAGAGCGGTTCGGTATGTAAAATGAAATTGACATTGAGTAGTATTAGTATTTAGTGTTAATGTATTGATTAAGAAACGTTTATGTTTAATATTAGGTGAAAAAAGATGTGAGGTCCAAATGGAATTCAATGAGTGATGCTGAAAAGGAACCTTACATCACACAGTCAAGGAATGATAGTAAAGAATACAAAGAACGGAGGAAAGCACATGAAAATAAGGTATCGATCCTTAAATTAATATTGTAGGTGGAAAACATGAAACACTATTAAAAAAAATTGAAACATAAATTACATAACTTTAAAAGAAGTATCGATCCTTTTTATAAAAAGTATGGACACTTTCAATATAATAGGTAAAAATATGATGTAATAGGTAGCGCTTATATAATGTAATAGGTATCGTTTATATAATGTAATAGGTAGTGGTTATATTGTAAAGTGTCTATCCTTTTTATAAAAGTGTCCATACTTTTTTCACTGTGGAAAACATTAATTTAAGGTTATCTTTTTGAGTGAGTTTTAAGATTTTAATTTAGTAATTATAGGCGTCTAATGATTTATTTTTTACGTTACGATATATATTATTATTAAATTAAAAATTCTAAATAATATTTTATAAAATATCAAATAATCAAATAATTTTTTGTGCAAATGAAATTATTAAATTAATATTGTAGGTGGAAAACATGAAACACTATTAAAAAAAATTGAAACATAAATTACATAACTTTAAAAGAAGTATCGATCCTTTTTATAAAAAGTATGGACACTTTCAATATAATAGGTAAAAATATGATGTAATAGGTAGCGCTTATATAATGTAATATGTATCGTTTATATAATGTAATAGGTAGTGGTTATATTGTAAAGTGTCTATCCTTTTTATAAAAGTGTCCATACTTTTTTCACTGTGGAAAACATTAATTTAAGGTTATCTTTTGAGTGAGTTTTAAGATTTTAATTTAGTAATTATAGGCGTCTAATGATTTATTTTTTACGTTACGATATATATTATTATTAAATTAAAAATTCTAAATAATATTTTATAAAATATCAAATAATCAAATAATTTTTTGTGCAAATGAAATTATTAAATTAATATTGTAGGTGGAAAACATGAAACACTATTAAAAAAATTGAAACATAAATTACATAACTTTAAAAGAAGTATCGATCTTTTTTATAAAAAGTATGGACACTTTCAATATAATATAATGTAATAGGTAAATTTGTAATACTATCGGTATAAATATACCGGTTTACTTATAAAATAGGTAAATATAAGCACTACCTATTACATTATATAAGCGCTACCTAGTATGTTATTGTACTTTATAATATTTCCGGTTAAATAATATAACATAACCGGTATAAATTTTAACCGGTCACTTGTTTAACCGGTCACGCCGTATATTAGCCGTTTTTTAGGCGCCGCACCGCAGAACTACCCGCCTTTCTTGGATCATGTCTCTTTATTAAAATATTTAAAAGGGTGCTAATTTGGTAAATAAAAAGCAAAGGGTGTTACTGTTGATTTTTGTGTGATTTTTAAATTAAAAAAACACAATATAAATGGGATGATAATTATTTAGACTTATGCAACTCAAAAATTAATCTAAATTGGAGTTGAAATTCGTCGTTCACTTGAAATCTTTTCTTAAGATCATTTTTATTGACCCATAGTGTGTGGGCCCACAGACCAAATATTTTTAATTTTCTAATTTAATTTATTAGAACTCGTCGTACAGCAAGACAAGTTCTAAAAAGAATTAATGTTTCTACCCTTGATGATTTTTTTTATTATAAATTTTTAATATTTTTTATAAATCACAAGAAACTCATCATTAATATAACAAAAACAATTAATGTAGCGGATTTCCAATTGACTCAGGCATCAATGGCTACACGTATGTCTACCATAGTAAATGTTTCAATAAAACTAAATTAAAAGATTGGAACTCTGCATGTAGTTACCTAATGTGCAATAATCTACTGCATTGATTATTGCATTAATGAACCATTGATGCAAGAAAAGTTGGAAATCTGCGTATTGTTATTAAGGCACAAGTTACTTGGAAATCTGCTGCATTTATAATTATATTAAAGATGAGTTCCTCTTAGTTTTTAAAAATATTGAAAAAATATAAAAAATTCAATAACAATAAAAGAATATTTTTTTAACTCATACGAGTTCTAATAAATTAAATTAAAATATTAAATCATTCTAAACTCGTCGTGTGAGTATGACAAATTTTAATAAAATAATATTATTCATAAAACTCAATGAGTTGTACGTACATCATAGCAAATAACAGATGACTTAATCCCTAAGGTAATCTCTCATGTCCTGCATTTTCCTAAATGTGTTTAGCGGGAACACTATTTCCCAAAAACGCAGTGTGCCTTGTACCTCTGACAAATCTGCTATGAGCTGGTAAAGAAGTAAGCGATAAGAAAAATCATGCTTCTGCTTTTAAATTAATTCCAACAATACTAAACATTGTCTTCTCTCCCTGGGAGGGCTCAAAGATGATATGCTCCATATAGTATCGTCTCCACAATGGACCACGTTATGAACTAGTTTTTAGTTTGGCAAATGCTAAAATGGAAAATCAAACAAAACATATGACTGTCCTTTTTCAACTAACAGATGAAACACACTTCTGCCCTGTGTGGTAGTAGTCAGCTACTCTTTCTTAGTGTAGTGACGTACCACAATAGCCAAGTCCAGAATCAAGAGGGGAACGAGAAATTGTAGGATCTTAATCACAAACTCGGGGGTCTTATCGGGGTTGTAAGGTGCTTGCTGCGGTGGAATGTAGGTGCGCTTTGCCGGGACGGTTTTTGAATCGATCTCGCCTATGTAGTATTTCTCCATCATTTCTCTTGCGGAATCACTGTGTCCCACATCTTCAAAATCATTAGTGGCATCCTTCCCTGTCAAATTAGTGGGGCATGGTACCGAATACAGGCTTAATTACTTAAAGAACCAAACACAAAATCTATATCGCATGAATTTACCTGTTGCTGACAGCAAAACTTCATCACCTCCAGGATGATCTTCCATGAATGGAATTACATCATACACCTTCATAGAGAGAAATCTAGATCATGAACAACAGTTTTAACTCCAAATACATTGTTCTTGAAATATTCATCCAAGGACTTGGGAACCTTGAAGGAGAAACATATTAGTTCAACTTAAGGTTCTTTCTACAGCTGAGAGAAGATCAGACAATTCTAATGATTGTTTGATATACAGTAAAAAGTTGATATGCAATTTACGAGAATCGAATTTTTTATTCAGAGTAAATCAGTTACGGGTAGTACTAATGTTTTCAGATGATAAAAACTAAATGACATCATTGATCGCTGTTCTTCCAAATAACAAGCATCTGGCATGCACAATAGTACGAATGACTTCAAGCAAGGATAGACAAAAAAGGGCATATATTTTAGATATTTTATATTGGTAATCTATCCTAGCCCTAAATTTTATAAATTCACCTATTCTAAAAAATTTAAAGAAGGTCTGCTAACATAAAATCTTCCATCGTCTATCGCTTCAAGAGTTGAAGAACACAAACACATTAAACTAAAAAGGTACTAAGCTGCCCAAAGTCAGGTTGAGAACAGCTTCCGTGAGAGACCTTCATTATAAATGGACTCGATCCCACGACCACAAGATTAAAAAACTTGTGCTCTACCAACTGAGCTAGACAGGTACTTACAAACACATTAAACCATGGTTTTCAGAATCGGACCGGTTAGCGAACCGATCATGCTACCGGTTCACTGGTTCAACCGGTCGAACCGGTCCGACCGGTCGGAAGAACCGGGCGACATCATAATTATTTAAAAAATTAAATAAAAATACCAAAAATATTTAATAAAAAATAATTTTTTATTACACAAGTCGTATTCAAAGCAAGTCATAACATATATAAGTTAAAAAACATAAAATCAAGTGAAACAAAATGATTCAAATTAACAACAACATAATATTTAAGGTAAAACATATTAAATAATAAATATAATTATATAACTATAATTAAAAAATAAATTTGGGGTTAAAAAAATCATAACAAAATGATATTGTTTGGTTTAATTTTTTTTAAAAAACAATCTCACATGGCTAAGAAACATAGAAGAGCTTCCCAAAAGTCTAAAGAGTAAAAATATGAGAACAAAACAATCTCACAATGCTAAGAAATATAGAAGCGCACCACAACTAACTTCTATAAATAATAGAGGTAATTTGGCATTCAAAATCATGGAGCCTTTTGGTGAGTATTGAGTGAGCTATTCTTTCACTTCAATCAAGCTCGAATTTTAGACTTCAATCGAGCTTCTAATTTTTTTTTGAGTTCAAGCCTTTTTGAGTTCAAGTTTCAATATTATATTTCGAGTTTGAGTTGAACTTGATAATTTTTAGCTTGTAAGTTTGAGTTGAGTTGAGCTTACTTTTAAAGTTTTCAAGTTCGAGTCGAGCTCAGCAATACTCAAGTTCGACTTGGCTCGTTTAACAAACGACGTTGTTTGGTTTATTTTTTTTTTTAAAAAAAACAAAAATCCCGATTTTTCCCGGTTTAAGCCGGTCTGGTTCGAACGGTTTAGCAATTCTGGCCGGTTCACTAATAGCGATTCAACCGGTTTAGATTAAACCGGACTAAGCAACGGTTACCGATTGAACCGGCCGATCCAATCCGATTTTCAAAACTGAGCATTAAACTAAAAGATTCATTAATAGTATGTATATAAAAACCAAACTTCAACTACTAAAATGAATATAATAAACAATTATTCAATTCTGTCTACCTGTCCATCCAAAAAGTGAAAAATTATTTAATTTTCTTCCATGTCACATTGTCTGATATGGGTATATGTATCCTCCGAATCCGAATGCATGGAAAAATTTTGATTTGGACAAATACCCATACCCAACCCAATGAAACACACAATCGAAGGTGAAATCAACCCAGATAAAAATAGTTCAAAATAGGAAAAAGGAAGTAAATCATCCTTCTAATGAGATTAGAAGAGAGAGGGTAAGATCTGACCTTCCCGGAAATAATCAGCCAACAATCTTTGGTTTTGTTGTGGACTGCAACCTCCTCGAAAGTGTGCACCTTTGGTTCTGAAGCCATTCTTCAGCACTGTCAATCAAAAGAAAACACCAAAATTTCAAAATCCCACCGCCGGTTAGACCTGAAGCACCCGCAAAGAAAGCCACCAAAAACAAATAAAAACTAATGCTCTGTAAAACTAAAGACTCCAAAAGCCTCCAAATAAAAAGAGAGAAAAAGGTTTAAGCTAATCCTCCAACATACTATAGTTCAATGAGGGTACTGTTGTCTCTTCCACAATATATTTTCATTTCCTCCCCATTACTTCATTTATTTTAAATTTAGTCCTGAATTTATGTGTTGTTTCATTTTCGTAATGACTTCTTTTATTCTCGTGATAAATTTAATTAAATTAATGTTGAACTTCACATAAATCTTACTTAACGTCTGTGATCAGTTAAATTTTACATTAATATTTTATTAATTACACTTAAAAGTAAGAATATTTATTCAATACATTATTTATAGGATAAAATTTTTCACAACCCGTATAAGATGTTGATATGTGTATATAAAAAATAAAATTAATAAAAAATAACACATGTATTTATTTATGATTTTCTTGAATAATTTGAGAATATTACAAGATAATATTTGTTTATATTTTTTTTTACTTATTGATAACACACATGTACTCGCAAACATATCTATTTAAATCTATGACCTCTAGAGAGATTTTTTTAATTACTAAAGTCTATCGGTAACTTTTATTTGTGAAATTATTTATTTTCGTTAACCGTGTATATATAATTACCTTAAAAGTAAAAGGATGTTACAAAGTAGTAATTCATTAATTTTAAGATGCGTTTAATTTATAAAATGTAAAATTATTTTTAAAACTGTATTTCTTGAAATATAAGATTATTTGCCATATTACTGCTTACTAGGATTGGATAGTTAGTTTAATTGGCAAGAATGTATAGTCGGAGGAGTGATGTACAGTTGGGGAATATAATATTATTAACTAAATTTTTAATAAATTATTTTGTTAAGTTAAAAATTCACCAAGCATTGAAAAGGGGTAAATTATTTTACTTGTAATAACTCAAAGCAATTTATTTTAATCAGTTAAGTTGTGAATTGGACCACTCAAGTCTGGAAACATTAGGCCCATGTTCTTTAGTTTTGTGGCGACGGCGACTACGAGTTTGGTACCGGTGGAAACCAATCTTTGCTTCCGTTTCCCAGCTGTCCAAAACTCCAAAGTTGGTGAGTTTCCTTCCTCTCCAACCTCGGATTTGTCGCTGCTGTCTAGGGTTTTCGATTCTCATCGCAATTTCCGATCTTAATCAGTCTATTTTCGTACCGCTTTTCCGAAGTCAAGGAAATATTGCTGGCAAGGTATTTATTTCAAGCAGATCGAGGCGCATAGTAATTAAGTTTTGTATTTATAGCTTCAAAATAAACTGTTATCGATCTTAAATTTTTTTATGATTTTCCTATCCTTTTGTCTTCAGATTTCCGTAGAACCACTTAAAGGGAAGAAAAATGAACATAACGGTGTGAAGGTTGAGCTCCTTTGTCAAATAGGTCGGTCCTTGCCCCTTGTTCACTGTGTTGCTCCAAGTTTTAAATATCATTCTGATGTGGTAGAAAGAATAAGGTTGAACATTTAAGGGTGTTGTTGTTTCTTGATGAAATGAATTAACGTGAACTTTGATTTTGCTTTTTCAGAGATGTATTTTGACAGAGGCAACTTTTACTACTTCACCTCTCTAGGTGAGTATTGTAGTCTGGTTGACCTTTTGTTCGCTTTGCCTGGAAATTGTTTAGATGTTCTTTAAGCGACTTCAGGAATTATTTACATTAATTGCATGTGGCATGGATGGGGTTGAAAATAAGAGCTTAAGAGTTCAAATTTATGCTTTGCAGTTTATGATATTCACATAATTTTTCACTCTTTAAGAGGCTCAAAATGCACATGAAATTTATTTCGCGGATAATAAGTTCTTGTAGACTGCTGATTGGTTTTTTATTGCTTCTTTCTATACCTTATCTCTTTTGCTTACATTCTGTATATTCCTAATATTTGCAGTACGCGAGTTGGATGTCCCTGGGGAAATATATGAAAGAAAAACTTACCCTTTTGAATTTTCTACTGTTGAAATGCCGTGAATGTGCGGCTCAGGTTCGCTACTCATCACTGCTTAAACTCTTTGAAAATAAACTTTTGTTCATTTTTCTTGTCAATTTGAATGGAATGGTTCCTTGATAACTAAAAGTTTGTTTGCTATGTATCTTTGAGGATTATAAATCAATTTCTTATCATGATAGTTTTGGGTACCTATTTTAATAAAGATTATAAATTACTCTGATATGTCATTTAAAGATCTAATTTTGAAATTATGAAAGGGTTTTTAGTTTTGTTTGTCTGATGATGAGGCTGGTGATTTGGGTTTATAGTGTGAAAACTCATCCTATAATTGTTTGACTATTTGCTTTCATCAGGTATGTCCTGAAAGTAACAGTTAGCCGTAATTATGGTGGAAGCATAGTGGAATACCAGGACGTTATGGTAAAAAGCACCCACTTCAATTCTTTTCTCTTCGACTTTTTCTTTCGCATAGTTTTAAAAAGCGCGCATGAGGCGCTAGGCGAGGCGAGGCGTTTAGAAAAAAGCCTCCGACCACCAAGGCGGCGGCGAGTACATGAGGCGGCGATTCAGTCGTCGGAGGCGGCGAGAGGCGACGAGGCGATGCTTTTAGCGATTCACGTACAATGACCCATTTTTAAATTTTGAGTCTAGGCTCGATTTTCTTCCAACAGTCAGACCTTTTAAATTCCAATTACTTACATTAATGTATTCCTGGAACTTTGAACTGTCTCTTGACCTTCTAACGTCCAATTTTTTAATTACTGTATGTCTATAAATCATGATCCAAGCTCTCTAGTTTCTCCGATGCATACCCTGGAGCTTCTTTTCCCTCCTAAAATTTTCTCTCCCTCCTCCATTCATGCTTAATTCAGCGATTGTTCTACGTTGAAGTTGAAAGCAGACTCCTTTCTCAGTTTCTCCTATCTCCTTTCTCGATTTTCTCCATTAAGGTAAGTCTTAATTTTAAAATTTGTATCACTGTAGTGTATGTACAATCTGCTTTTCTTTTCCCCTCCACTCCTACATGGTTAATTTACTTCACTGTAATTTGTTTAATTGCTTCATCTTCAATGTAATTTGTTTAATTGTTTATATATTGGAAGACACAAGCTTTCTTTATCGGTTATCATAGCTGTAGATATATAATCCGCTTCATTGTTAAGGTGATCTGCTTACTTGTTATTTTGTTAAGGTAATCTGTTTAATTGTTTATCTATAATATGTTTAATTGTTAGGTAATCTGTTTAGAATTTAGATATATAATCCGCTTCATTGATGTTGATGACGATGATGATGAAGACAAGTTTTAGGCATTTTGATTATTGATGATGTTTTTATTTGTCTTTTTGAGATACAATATGACCTATGCTACTTGGTGTTTTTGCTTATTAAGTTGTTTTGTGTTTGAGGTATGGTTATAAAATATTTACAAATGTTTTGTAAAATTAAGCGCCTCGCGTACGTGAATCTCTCGCCTCAAAGCGCCTCAAAAAATTGAGGCTCTCGGGTAGCTAATCGCCTTGGAGCGCCTCACGCCTTTTAAAACACAGCGCATCGTTCTTTCTCTTTTGCCTAGCATACCGTGGCATCTCATTCTCATCTGTACTAACATTAATATGCAAGTAAGCACATACTAAATCTCATGTGTGCTGCTAAAGGCAGAACTTCAATGCTTTCTTATGTGAAGATTGGAGTGCTTAACACCCCCCCCCCCCCAAAAAAAAACATATAGTACTCATATTCGGGAAAGTCAGCATCAATCTATATGGCCATATAGAAGTTATCGGTTATGTGGTCTTAGCAACTTAACTTTTGCTTGGTTTATGTGTATCAGGTTCGCAATTATTCTCCACTTCCATCAATCAACAATAGCATCAAGGTTAGTGCATTTATTTGAATACTTTTATGGTGATTGCATTGCATAGTAGTTTGACTGGTATCTAAATTGATTTTTATGAACATTACATCGATCATTTCACCATTTGCTATTGAATTGCCCACCACTGACTTCATTCATAATTTTTAATTTTTAACAAATATCAACCTTCTTCTACAGATGGAAGTTGGAATTGAAGATTGCCTCCACATCGAATTTGAGTACAATAAAAGCAAGTAAGTTGAACATCTATGGTTGCTCAAGCCTGATATAATAGGTTGGCTAATGTCAGCACTGGTTTAGGGCTTGGCTCATCGGAATTGAAATTGAAATTGCAGGTATCATCTGAAAGATATTATATTTTCTTCTTGTGAGAATCAAGATTAAGAATATGGATCTTGAGATAAGGCGTCGAGAGTCAACAGGATCAGGAGCAAATACCCACGTTGAAACAGAGACCCTAGCTAAATATGAGTTGATGGATGGTGCTCCAGTCAGAGGTATGTTCTTAAGAAACGTCGTCTTTTTCTAAGAGCTGATGAGACAGTTGTCAGATACAACTAGCTTATATATAATTGACTGTACTTGTATTCTTTAACGGATGTTAATTTGGGCTGAAATGTTCAGTTTTGATAAATGCATACACACCATTTTCCTAAAGCATAGCGCTGACAGTCGTGCTTGGCATTGAAGGTGAATCTATTCCAATCAGGCTGTTTCTCAGTCCGTATGAGTTGACGCCAACACATCGGAACATAAACAACAAATTCAGCGCGAAGTATTACTTGAATCTTCAGTAGGAAATTACAATGTACAGGTTGCAGGATTCCTGATCAAGCATCTCTATACATGTAAACTTTGACATTCCATCCAGTAAGGACGACGATTAACTTACTTACGGTACCTTTGTAAAGCCTTGAAGCTTAGGTCTAAAAGTTAAATACTGGATGACAAGGTGGTTTATTTGGAAGAGCAATAATGGCTTGCTAGACTGCGGTCTGCATCTTTGACTCAGATTTGATGCAATTATTTACGAGTCATGTGACGTTGCGGAGGGCGTAACAATATTTTGATACGGTCATTTCATGTTCCATGTGAATTACTTGACAATGCCGTTT